CTGCTGCAAAATTGTTTCTGTAGCAAAAAAAAAAAAAAAAAAAAAATTAATAGTAACCACTTACACTCTTTGCAATCTAACACTTCAATAACTTTATTGGATTGTTTCATATCAAAGTAAATTATTCTCAGAATCCAAAACAATCAATTCCAAGCTTCAAGATACAAAATTACTTTATATAAAAGCATCAAGAGGATAAATTAGTTTTAAAGTTTCCTTTAATATTTTTTTAAAATTAATTTGTCTACAAAATGTAATTTTTTTTTTTCAAGAATGTTTATTGCAGTGCTTGTAAAGTAAGAGAAAAAAATTATTTCACAATCCAATATGTGAATAAAATGATGCAAATTAACAATGAAAGGAATTTTCTTGAAATAGCATAATTGTTTTATGCTTTCATTTCTTTTATCCAAGGTTACAAGTTAAAAGGAAAAAAATTCTATATATTGATTTGTTGAAAAGATGGTGAACTATACATTAACAGAATTTGCACATAAAAATAAATGTTGCACCTTGCCCAAGATTTTAGTAGTGTATTATATATATATATATATATATATATAATTTATTTAAAATAAATATAAATAATTGGAAAAAACAAGAGAAATGAATTAATCGCTACATGTAGGCATAAAAACAAATACCTGCTGAAATATGTTGAATCAGATTGATTTCAATTCAGACCGATACCTTCCTATTTTTTTCTTTTAATTCATTTTGCTACTTTATCTTTAAGAATTTTTTTATATGAATATTGTATCTAACATGATGGTATTTAGATAGATACAAATATAATCTTGTATTTTTTATAAATGTGATTAATCATAGGTAACCATATATATATATGTATATATATATATGTGGGTGGGTGTGTGTGTGTGTGTGTGTCCATACAATTACATATCTAGATATGCCATGATATTTGCATCTTTGTATTTTTCTATTTTTGTAGTTCAAAGTACAAAAGTTGTATGGATGTATTATTGCACTTAACATATTGAGATCTGGTGTTAATAAAATAGTGTTTAATATAAAGTAACTGAGCTATATATATATATATACACACCGTGCCAAATTATTATCAAGATAACTTTTTTCATAATATTTCAAAAACCGTCCAATCAATTCACACAAAATTTTCACACAATGTTGGCAACACTGACCTGCGAGAATCACTGAAATTTTCGACCTGATCTGCTATGTAAAACAAACTGGCGCCATATTTGTTATCAGTACGGTGATTTGAGCGTGCCAAATTATTAGAAAGGTTTAGTAAAAATTCCAGAATTGAGCATACAAAACGTTTATTAATGTTGCACGTGAATGTTTATGATCAAAAGAAGCTAATTATTAAGATAATCAAACAAATATTAACAGATACAAACAAAGGCACAGTTTTAAACAAATTAACAGGGAATGTGATTTTTCCCTGTTTTGAAATTACTTGAAGAAGTTGACGATCCATAGAATTTATTAATTGTAGGATGTCATCTGCTGTAATGCCACAAGATATGTCAAGAATTGCTTCCCACAACTCAGCATTGCTCCTGAATTGTCGTCCGTTGGCGTACAGTCTTCGCTTCATGATGCTCCAAAGGTTTTCGATTGGGTTCAGATCCGGAGAATATGCTGGCCACTTCATTTTTCGAGGTCCATCGAAGCCTGTTTCAAATATTCAGTAGTCTTGTGAACAGCATGTGAGGGAGCATTATCTTGCATAAAAACAATGGCCCTTCTGAAGGCAACTCTTTGTCTTTTCATCCACAGTTCAAGATGCTCCTTCATAAATGCTATGTATGCATCAGCAGTCATTTTGACACCATCTGGTACTCTCCATGGGCCCACTAATGTTTTTCCAATAATACCAACCCAGATCATTATGCCTCCATCGCCTTGTTGGCGTCTCAAACGCTGATGGCGATTCTGTCCGTTCCTTACCCAGCCTTTGCACCATCTATCTGGCCCATCAAGTGTTGCTCGAGTTTCGTCTGCGAACAAAACTTTAGAGAAGTCAATCTTCATACTGTCCTCGGCCCATTTCAATCGATTTTGAATGTGATTTCTTGTCAATGGAGGCTTCGATACAGGTTTGACTGTTGTTGATATTTCCCTCAGATACCGACACCGAGTACTTTTAGACACAGTAGGATCCCCAATGAAACTGAAAAGTTCTTGGTTGGTAAGTCCAGGGTTCTTTGTGGCCCCTCGTTTAAGTCGTGACATGAGACGACGTGAAATAACCCTTGGCTTGCCTTTATCTGCCCTTTTGCATAGAGTTAGCGGTGAACTTTTTCGCTGTTTGATGACACCTCCCTATCATTTTAGAAATTTCTAGGGTAGATTTACCTTTTGAGAGTTCTGGGGTGATAGCCTTCTTTTTAGCATTACTTAAACTGCTTTTATGGCCCATCTTTTTACTAAATTCTTACACTTTTCTAATAATTTGGCATGCTCAAATCACCATGCTGATAACAAATACGGCACCAGTTTGCTTACATTGCACAGGTCAGTGTTGCCAACATTGTGTGAAAATTTTGTGTGAATTGATTGGACAGGTTTTTGAAATATTAGAAAAAAAGTTATCTCGATAATAATTTGGCACGCAGTGTACATCCCCCACCCCTGCCATCACGGGTAACACAACTGAGTTTCATGCACAATGCAATTTTCAGGTGCTGAGTTAAAACTGACTTAAATAATTTAAATTTTGAAATATGTACTAGACTACCATAATAGTGGAAGCAGTCCATATTATTTACAGGGCTTGTTAAAATATATTTAAAATAAATATAAATAATTGTTGGGAAATATATATATATATATATATATATATATATATATATATATGTGTGTGTTTTTGTGTCTGGAGTGAATGAAGTAGTTATACTAAATAAATGAAATTGAGTTTGGAGATACAGGAATTTAGTCAAAAAACACTATAATAGAAAGAGAAATCAAAAAAGCTCAATCAGAATGTACATAAAATACTTGATTATGGCTTTGAGATTGGAATTGCTAAGAGTCAAAATGAGTATCCTAATTTAAAAAGCATGTGCAAGTGACAATCTTTGAATGACCAAGCAAGCAAAAATTATCCAAATATTTTCTATTCACCCAAAATACATATAGTTCTCTTCACTTCAGAAAATAAATATGCTTATGGATTCATCTAGCAGCCCCAGTGAACTAGCATCTGGACAATTCCAGCTGGAGTCCAAAGACTATAAAGATCCACACCTACAGGCAGTCAGTGTGTCTACCCTAGTCAGTCACTAAAGCCTGTTAGAGATACAGTTACTTTTCACCAGAAAAACATAGTTGAGTTAAAAAAGAAAGAAAACTAAATAAGAAGTAACTACTATTGTTAGACTGACCGTTCATAGTAAAAGCCTGAAAGGAAAAGAGTCCTTGTGTAAAGATTAGCATTCATTCCAGCCACAAACAAAAAGAAAAAAAAAAGAATTGTGTAATAACTGTCGATAGTAAATATTTGTTAGTGTTAGTATGACACCATGACTGGTATCAAAAGTTGACTGGCAATCTAATTTATATTTCTAAAGAAAAATTTTTTCCCTGTTAAAACAATGCAATACCATAAATTTCCTGGTTTGTGTCACTTATAGAGTATAGTGAAAGAGGTGAAATTGTAAGCTTAAGTGGGAGTGGTCATTAGGTAGTCTTGGGTTTTAGGTCTGTTTAACTTAAGTGTTGTTTTCATTTGATAAAGGTATTGTTCCATTGGAATGAGCAACACAGCAAATCTTTACAGGTCAGGTTTATTTTGATAAGGGATATAAACCCACTTTCAGGTAAAATTGATGATGTCAACTGTGATAATCAGGGCAAATGAAGATGAAAGTGGATGTGACCAATGCAAGGCCACAATTTTGATTGGCCTGCCAATAATGGAGCTTCTCATCTCCCCCTCTGATACTTTCGACAGGGCCATTATATTGATTAGACTACCAATCATATTGGGTTCTTAGGGGGCTTTCCTTCTTCCCCTTCAAAGTGTATGACAAGACCATTGGTCAAGCATTATTATTGGCTAACCAATCAGAGCAGTGCAATTGTGAGTTGCATCGCCACAAAAGCAATTACCAAAAGAAAGATAGAACTGGTCTTGCTGCTAGTAAGCCAACACTCACTACCAGATGACCATGGTGCCTCAATAAGCTAAAGTCCTGTTCACCGTGACACTTTTTTTTCTTTTATTTCCTCTCAATCAACTGTCTTCATATAAATAGTTAACCAACTCTGAGCTGTTTAGCCATAACTGCAACCAGCAGTCAACCTCTTTCTCCCAGCTTAAGAATTCGTTATACAGGGAAATTTCTTCAAATCACTTTTGTATATGTATTCATGATCTTATTCAATCATAGTACCATAAATAAAAGTTGTTATTTTTACACTTGTTAATGAGTGTTGTTGAAGTTAAGTTTGCCGGCAACACTGGTGACTTTAGTCTTTCACAAGCATAGCCAGGACCAAGAGGAGTGAAGCCTGATCTTTGACAGTTCTTCACCAATATACCTGTGGATACTGAAACACAAAAACACAACATGGGAGTGCAGGATTGGTACAGAGTGTACTCGCCAGACATGGACCAAAGTAAGAGTGACACACAGCAACAGGGCTATATCAGAAAGGCCTTGTGATTTGAATTTGCTTTCAATTAAAATGTTTACCATAGGCACTTGGATATCCAATTCAACAGGTAAACAACACCAGTTGCAATGTAACAGGAACAAATTATGGCTGGTGTAGTAGGATTAGCAACTCATCATTTTCCCAAGAATCAGTGAGGGTTGTGCCAGGTAAATTTAACACAATAACAAAGGTGCAATTATTGAAGAGTGCCCCAAGTCCTTGAAGCCACTCCTGTCATCAGTTTTATAACATCAATATTTTAGAACAGTTAATATGACTTACTTAAAATAAGTTAATAGACATTGCACTAAGAGGGATGGTTCTTGCCAATGGATATAGTCCAAGTTATCCTGCAAAAGAGAAAAATATTTAAATTACATGTAAATTTGATAGAAAGACTTTAATATTTAAATGAAAAATCTACCATTAGCTTTTAAAGAATTTATCTAAATTTCAAACAAGTGAAATTTGCTATTAAGCCAATTGAAATCAACATTAATTAACAACTGAACATCTTCCCATTTGAGATATTTTCTACAAAACTGAAAAGTCAATTAGAAAAAAATTAAATTAAAAATATATATATATATATATATATATATATATATATATATATATATATATATATATATATTAAGGAAAATATGCATACATATGCAAAATATATAAATACCCATACATGTATATTTTTTAAAAAAATTCCAAGAGGAAGAATCCAGGTAGAACTAAATGTCTCGGACAGAGTAAGGATATAATAAAAAGGTTTAAACACTAATATTCCATGGTCATAATTTATTCCATTGGAATTGTAAATACAATCCAATTCATCAGACCTACAAATTCAAAAAAGAAAACAGAAAAAAAAAAAACAACTCCGGAAATAAAAACAGAATTTAGAGAGAGTGTAAGTATGAGGAGGAGGGAGATTAAACCTTAACAGAGAGAATTTTAGGAGAGATGGGTGGAAGGGGTTTAATTAAGAGAAAAAAATGAATGTTGACAGATGTCTAATGCATAAAGATACATTTCGTGACATACACACACCATAGACAATCTAATGTAAGAATAAGAGGAGAGAGATGGGACAGAGAGATGGGAAAGGAAAGTAAAATTGCATTTACTTAAAAGGGCCGCTTTTGTAATTGAGAAAATTTGACAAATTTAATATCGACTACAGGTTACAAATCAAATATAAATATATGAAGATAAATATAACGATTATCTAATCCAGCAAGGACCTATATTTCTATGTTCAAAACACATGCCGAATATACACAATAACATATACATGTATATACATACACATACGCGTGTACACACATACATGTACACAGATATAAAAATATAAAAATACATTCACATATCCATACATTCATCTATATCCATATACACACACTTTTCACATACATATACACGCATACACCTGCACATACATACATATATATATATATATATATATATATATGTGTGTGTGTATGCAGACATATATATATATATATATATATATATATGTGTGTGTGTGTGTATGCACACATCCACATCCATACACATGTACATATACACACACCCTATATATACATACATACACATATATATAAAAACCAAAAATATAAAAATATATACACATACATGCATATATACACACATACATCCATCTGCATCCAGTCCTTCATAAATATATGCACACATTTACCCACATATATACATACATACGCATACGTGCACATGAACATATATACCGAAAACATTACATTTCATTATAATTTTTTAAATAGACGATGTATCCCTATATCTATCCGTCTAACTATATACACACATATCAACGTACATATACTCTCATATACAAATATATATGAGCACATACATACCAAAATATACACACACATCTATATATACGTCCATCCATCTACACATACATACATCCATATACGTATACATAAATATAGGTACCTCCACGAAATCGCTAAAAAAAAGCATAGCTTGATGAAAAAAGACGCCAACCTTGCCGAAAACAAAATTTTATTGTCTAAATGCTTATGTTATTATTTAGAGGAAAGACCAAAGTTTTTTTAATTATTTTTAAAAATTTTCCTTCTTTTTAGAAAATTCTAAATTTTGATTAAAAAAACCTTGTTTCTATTTGTATCAGCGAACTAGTAAATAACATAGACAATTTTTAGCACGTTTTTTGGTACACATTAATTTGAAAAATCGTTGCAAAAAATAGAAATAATTATCGGATGTTAATGAAACTTTCAGGAACTATTCACAGATGATCGAAATTATTATAAATATGTTTGTTTTATGAAAGTCATGGTAGAAATATTTTTTAAAATATTTATTACTCCCCCCTATAACTAATTTTATGAAAACGCTAGAAATTCCTGTCGCATCGGTTTTAGTGATTACAATAATTAAAAGCACAGGGCTTTGAGGAATGCAAATCATGTTTTTTTTTGTTTTTAATTGGATACCCAATACCTGAAAATCAGCTCTGAATTGTAACATACAAAACTCAATAAAACAAAGATATTATTTAATTTCAAATGCTTTTATTTGCTTTTAGTTGTTTTTATGAATATGGACAATATTTTCTGAAAGCAAAAAAATTTTTTCGATGAAAAATGAATTTTAATACAATTATTTGTTATTTCATTAATTATAATAGATTTTACATTTAAGTTGTTAAAATATTATAAAATTAGTTAAAAGTCAGACAGGCTTTCATAAGTGTCCTTATGAGATAGATCTTTTTTAGCGCGTTGTAAATTGTATCATTTTGACTAATCAGAAGATACCCAGTAATTAAGAAATGTAATTTTGTGCTTATAATCGAGCTGTAATTATAAAATATGGAAGACCAACCAGAATATAATTAAGTTGCGTTATTTGAGTTAAGCATTGTTCTCCGCTGTTAAGGCCTTTTACTTTTAAAAAACACGTGTGGAGAAGTTAATTTGATTTTTCAATTTCAACTGAGAAGGGTACCTACAAGTATCAGTATCATCTTATGAAATTTATATGATCTTATTTTTATATTAATCTCAGTTACGACATTTTTCCATAAATGAAATATCAAAATTAATAATAAAATGAATGCAAATACAAATAACAGTAGAATGTAATAAATGTACATAAAATTATAGTATTTTATGTACAATTCTGATAAAATTTCATAAGAAAGGTACCTATAAATTAATTAGATACCTTTCTTAAGAAATATGAAATTTAATGTCACTCTTAACAGTTTTATTTTAATTTCTTTTAGAATATATTTCCCATAAAGCATCATAAACGTAAAGGTGAAAGCTAAGTACAAAAAAAAAAAAATTAGACCGCTGAAAGTTTTTCGTTAAAAAATAACAGGGTAAATAATTTGTTCACGTAAATGTAAATTATTTCACTTTTCTCCTTCCAGAGAACAAATTAGCCTCATGGAATTAAATAAATATATCATTCATCACATGTCAAGAGACGCGAAAGTTTATGACCTGCTTTGTTTTATTTTCAAATTACATCTTTTTGGCACAAAAGCTAAGTTAAGTTTGGTTCAAAATATTTTAAATAAACATTATATTTTCTGATTTTCTTAAAATAAGTTTTGAAAAAATGATAATTGATATTTAAAAAAATTTCAAAGTCAGATTTCCAGTTTTTTTTAAAATGGAAAAAATGGTCAATTTTAAGGACTCAAAAAAACTAGATTTTTAACGAAAATTTCGGACGTGCTAGGAACGATTAAAAAATGGAAAAAAAAATACCCCAAAAATACTTTGACCTTTCCTCTTAATGAATAACAAACATTTAGACGCTAAAAATTTTGTTTTCGTCAAGTTTAAGGTTTTTTCATCATGCTATGCTCTTTTTAGCGATCTCGTGGAGGTACCTACATAAATATACATACATCCATATACGTATACATAAATATACATATATACACATACATGTACATCCATACATACATACATATACCTATATACACACCCCATTTGTACATATATGTACACATATACGCACATATACACACACACACAGCTAAGTATGCACACATATGCACACATATACATATACATATATACACACACACAGCATAATATACATATGCACACATACATATCTATCCACACATATATATATATTGTCCACACACACACACATAGAATGCACACATATATCCACATACACACACACACACACACACACACACACACACACACACACACACACACACACATACATCCACATATACACACACATACATCCATATATACACACACACATACATCCACATATATACACACACACACATATACATCCACATATATACACACACACACATATACATCCACATATATACACACACACACATATACATCCACATATATACACACACACACATATACATCCACATATACACACACACACATATACATATATATACACACACATATACATATATACACACACACACACACATATACATACATATATACACACACATATACATATACACACACACACACATATACACACACACACACACACATATATACACACACACACACACATCACATCACACATATACACACACACACACATCCACATATATACACACACACATATACATCCACATATATACACACACACACACACATACATCCACATATACACACACACACACATATACATCATATATATACACACACACACACATCCCACATACACACACACATACACATCCACATATACACACACACACACATATCCACATATATACACACACACATATCCACATATATACACCACACATACACACATACACACATACACACATCCACATATATACACACACACACACACACACATAAATCATATATACACACACATATACACACACATATATATATATACATATATACACACACACACATATATATCACACACACACACACATATACACACACACATATATATATCCACATATACACACACACATATACATATCCACATATACACACACACATATACATATCCACATATACACACACACATACATATCCACATATACACACACACATACATATCCACATATACACACACACATACATATCCACACACACACACATATATATATCACATATACACACACACACATATATCCACATATATACACACATATCCACATATACACACACACATATATCCATATATACACACATATATATCACACACACACACACATATATATCCACATATATATACACACACACATATATCCACATATATACACACACACACATATATCTATATCCACACACATATATACACACACACATATACACATATATAC